CCCACTCGTGCTCTGTCTCTCAAAAATAAATAAATGTTAAAAAAATTTTTTTAAATAATAAAAAAAAAGGTGTGCAAAGAGAAGGCAAGGGAGGAGAGACAGGAGGCAGTACAGGGAATGCAGATTTTACCTGCATCATCACTGTGTTCAAGAGTAAGCCTCCCAGAGGCGCCTGGGTGGCTCAGTCTATTAAGCGGCAACTTAGGCTCAGGTCACGATCTCGCAGTTCGTGAGTTCGAGCCCCGCAATGGGCTCTGTGCTGGCATCTCAGAGCCTGGAGCCTGCTTCTGATTCTGTGTCTCCCTCTCTCTGTCCCTCCCCACTCATGCTCCCCCCACCCCCCTAAATAAGTAGACATTAAAAAAAAATTTTTTTTAGAGTAAGCCTCTCCAGGAATTTACATACGTTTGGAAATTTTATGCTGCGGCTCTGAATTCTTTTGCTTTCGTTATCATCATGAACTTTCACGGCACAGGTAAAATGTAAATGGAAACTTGGTCATGTTTTGCCTCACATACGGAGAACAGACCTATTTGCCAATGCTAGGGGTCTAGATTTCTTCAAGGGAGGCTGGCTGAGAATGCTTTGGGGAACTTGATTCTTTCATTGAACAGTCATCTATTTCTCTCACGTGGTTTGTCTCTGGGGGCCATAAAGTTATTCAAGGTGTAAAAATGCAGCTCCAGGGATTCCTAGGATTACAGCACAATTAATGAAAGCTACCATCTAAATTTGATCCTACTGAAGTCAAAGAAAGTAGGAAATCAGCAGCTTGAATCCACAATACAACTTGAAAAATCACTGACGATGAAAACCACATTCAAAACTCTCTCATAAGTCATCAGGTTTGAAGGAATTTATCGGCTGCGTTTGAGTGCTCCATTCTTGGGCACGCTGCTTCCCCAGAACCCTGCTGACACCTAGCCCCACTTTCCATAAATAAATAATTCTTCATTTGCTGACCTGGAGCCGTGAGCACGCAGCCCCTCCACCCCTGCTCTCCTCTGAGAGTAAAATGCCCTCTTGCATTTTTAATGCAACTCCCAAGACTGTGTGTCAAGTTTCCACAAAGTTTGCCAGAAGAATTAGCTGCCCCCTTTTAATAGGCAAGAGGTCAGAAAATAAACCTTTTTTTTTTTTAATGACAGTGTTTGAAAAATTAAGAAAATGAAACACTTGATCCAGCAGCGTACTGCATTTCACATTTTTGCAAAGATTGGTTTCTATAATTTTACCATCTGGCCCAACACAGTGAAATTTACTTTATTGGATACAATAACAACCAAGTTATTATTATTTTTCTTGCTTCCTTCCCTTCCTTCCGCTGCAGATGTGGGAAGCATGAGTCACACTGGACTGACTCAGAGGAAGTATGACTTCACGAAATACTCACAGAGTCGGGGACTTGGGGGGCTCATCCTCCACAGTGCTGGGAACCAAGAAAACATTGGCCTTCTGGGCAACCATTTCTCGATTTCAGGATCTTTTGTGGAGATTTGCTTAATGTCAGTGGGTCTGTTCACTGTTTCTACAACTAGGCACCTGAACTAAAGCACTAAGCCAGATAAAAATGTATTTAATTACTATTCAAATCCAAGGTAGGGGCACCTGGCTGGCTCAGTTGGTAGAACATGTGACTCTTGACCTCAGGGTCATGAGTTCAAGCCCCACTTTGACCGTGGAGACTACTTGAAACACACACACACGCACACACACACACACACACACACACATCCAAGGTTATTTTATTTTCTTTATAAAACCTGTATCTAATTTTTTGTATTGATGCATTGAAACTAGTATTAAACAGTTAGACATACTTAAAGAAGAAAACAGTGACAAACACTTGTAAGATGACTATGCAAACATAGCCCCTTATTAAGAGTTTGGTATGTCTCCTCCCTGTGCTCTACCCAGGTTTTTATCTTTCATATCTTACAAAATTGAAATTATACTCTATTACCAGTTGGTATTCATCAAGGTACTGCAGTCTTCCACATCTAATTCTTCTCTCCTGATACACAGTATCCACAAAATTTCGCACATGCCCTGGTCCTTAGAAGCCCTGGATAAATGATGCCCAATGGATATACATATTTGCTATTATTGCTTTACAAATACAAGCTTCAACAATCACTCTAACTGTGTGCAGGCAGGTGTAGACACTTTGGGGGAGGTAGGTGGGAGTGGGGGTTAGGGTGGGAGCCGAGGGGAGGGTGCCAGAATTATTCCTTAGTTTCCTGAACCATCTTCTCCACTAGGATTTCAAGAAAACCACAGTTTGCTTTAGAGGTAAAGAAACAAAGTGGACTTGGCTTCCATGGATGAAACTGGGTTCCTTTACCTGTGTGTACCAATTTCCTTAACTCTGATATGTCATTTTGCCCATTGGGACTTTAATTCCCTCCACTGTGCAATGAAAATAATCTCTAAGGTTACTTTCTCCTCCGATATCCTCCGTTGCTATCTTGTCTGCCTCACCTGAAGATCTCCCTAGTTAAAGTAAACTTATCAGCGAGAGCAGCTCATCAACTCTACCTCAATGGAAACAAAAGAAACATGATGAAGGTTTAGCACGTTTGCTCCCAAACAACCTGACTGCTCACGAATGGCGCTAAGAAGGTAGCGAAGGTCAAAAGTCTCTTTAATGTCTGATCACCTGGTGTTCCTGTCCTGGAAGCAGACCCTCTACTTGAGCCTGCGTGGTCATCAGTGTGGTCCCCAGAGACCTCATTTCTTACCTCAACACTGATTTTTCCCTTCCAGTTGGGTGTATACCCCATGCTGATTTTTTATAAAGGTGCTTTGAAACACAGTCCATTTAGAGTAGTGGCAGTGTCCTTCTGTTATCAGTGGCTTCCTTAAATGGAAGCATGTGGCAGTGAAGTCTAACACACAGGAGGTGGGTGTTCCTGACAGATATCACAGAGCCTGGTGCCCTTCCTTACCGCATGCCCAGAGGAAGTGTGGAGTCCGGGATGGCTCAGCCTTCATGGGTAAGACTGTTGAAAGGTCAGGACTGACCAATCTGTGTCTAAATACCCAATTGGTATAGGAAGTTGCTTAGAACCAACCCTCTGACCTAGCCCAAGCAGGATTGATTATGACATTAATAAACCTCAAGATCCTTGATCCCCTCCCTTGCACTGGTTCCTTCCAAGGTTTAGAAAAGGACCTATGATAGAGTTCACATAATCATTTGTTTTTGTCAAACTTGCAATCAAGAGATATTCAAGCAGCAATTAGTTAGGACTAGTGTCTCCTTCCATTGCAACCTCACCTCCATCATATTTTCTTTAGTGTAAGATTATATTGGGAGTGCCTGGATGGCTCAGTTGGTTAAGTGCTTGACTCTTGATTTCAGCTCAGGTCATAACTTCACGGTCATGAGATTGAGCCCCATGTTGGGATCCGAGTTGCATGGAGTCTGCTTAAGATTCTCTCCCTCCCTCTCCCTCTGCCCCTTCCTGCTCTCTCTCTTTCTTTCTCTCAATTTCTCTCACTCTCTCTCATAAATAAATAAATAAATAAATACATACATACATACATACATATTTTAAAAAGATTATATTGGAGTGGCCTTGGGCATTTTGGGGACTTCACAAAATGGAAAGTTCAGTTGAAGAATATATTTAGTTTGGGTTTAGTGGGATATATTTGTGTGGTTCTAAGTCGTTTCTGGTAATAATGACGTTGTTGTTAGATGTCCTCATGAAGGACTGATTTCTGGTAATAATCTTGCTATCCATTGTGCTGACCTAAAGGAGCAAGGTCAGGGGTCTAGTGCAATATAAATGTGTCCCACGGCACTAGGCACTAGACGTATGTGTATCAAAGAGGAGAGTCAAGGTTTGAAATATAGGTAACCAGAAGCTAGTCTGTGGAGAATTCTCCCAGTTACCAGATATGGAAAACTGCAAGCAGAGGGTTTGGTTCTTACCAATGCTTATTCAAAACAGAAGTTCTCTCCTATCAGAAGTATACTCAGTCATGCAGCATATACAGTAACAAAGGCACTGTACGTTTTTAAGGGGAAGTACCCCAAATACACTTTATATATTTATAGTTTATCAACTTGTTGTAGTTCTATAAGTAATTACATTTTTGTAACTCCCGATTCTAAAAATCAAACAGTGATAATTGCATTAGTGGAGAAATTATCTTTCTCCTGTCTTATCAAAAAGTATATTACAAGATTGTTGTAAAATGGAGAAATGATCAAAGTGTATGTAGTTCAAAAAACGCAGGGGGAGAAAGTATTGGAGAAGGGTGGTGGGTACTTAATAAAACAGTAAGTCACTTTTCTGGATTTCTGATATTTGTGGTATTTGACAGCTTTTTTAAAAAAAGTTTTTTTAATGTTTATTTATTTTTGAGAC